AATAGAATAGAATAGAATAGAATAGAATAGAATAGAATAGAATAGAATAGAATAGAATTCCTTATTGGCCAAGTGTGACTGGACACACAAGGAATTTGTCTTGGTGCAATGTCACTGGATCCTCCTTATCATTTCATTACAGCGAAACACAGGACAACTCGCTTAGGAACTTCATTACCTATCGTTTTCGCCAAGCCAGTAAAACGTTCTTCCATTGCCAAACATTCACTCGTGCAAAGAGCATTGCCTGCTGAAAACACTTCAACCCCAAAGTAAGTGAAAAGGTTCAGGTCAGATATAACTGTTGCATGTTTTAGGAGTCGCTGTTAGTGTTGTCTTCTTACTGGTTTATTTATTTTATTTGCTTCCCATCTCATGGTTCAAGTGACTCTTGAGTGGCCCTTTGATGATCAGGAAGTAATGGTGGCGATTATTATATTATTGCCATTTGTAAGAAGAGCAAGGGGAATAATCAATTTCACCTTCATATAAACCAAATCTATAAGGCAATGGCTCCAATGAGGAAATGCAGGAAAACGAATGGCAGTGTATGAAGTATCTATCCTTCTTATTAGCCGAAAGAAACTGCAAATATTTGCTTTCTCTTCCTTCCAGAACCAAGAAGAATATGTTGAAGGAGGACATTCCTAGGAAGCCACTTACTACTGTGTAAGCTATCTTCATTTTGGTTTGTGTGCTTTGAAATAAGAATTCTATCAGACAACCAAAAATTAATTCTGGAACAAATTGGACATACAGGTAGTCCTCAACGTACAACAGTTCATTTAGTGACCATTCAAAGTTACAACGGCACCGACAACAGGGACATTTTCCATAATTTCGACCCCATGATCATGTGGTCAAAATTAAACGCTTGGCAATTGGTTCATATTTATGACCGTTGCTGGGTCCCAAGGTCACATGATCCCCTATAGCGACCTTCTGACAAAGTCAATGGAGAAACCAGGTTCATTTAACAACCGGATTACTAACTCACCAACTGCAGTGATTCACTTAGCAAATGTGGCAAGGAAGGTTGTAAAATTGGGCAAAGCTCACTTAACAAATGTCTCGCTTAACAACAGAAATTTGGGGCTCAGTTATTGCCGTAAGTCAAGGACTACCTGTGCCACTTTGCCTAAAGAAGTGTAGTGAAGGCTGCTTGGAAACCAGGACAGAGCAAATGGAGAGATGGGAGCAGAAGGCTGGGCAGGACATTCTGCCTTTTGATCTGATCAGAAACCTGTGAATCCTTTCCTGATTTCTTAGCCTCCTGAAATGCTATTTGCATACTTCTGGATTCATAATTTACACTGAATATTACATGTAACAGGAACACCCAGTGGTTACGGTTCAACTATTTCAGGTATTCCACCTTTTAACTTGAGTGGAATCAAGTGAATTGATTGGCTAAAATCTACATAGATGTAGCTCAGCATTTCAAATCCAACCTTGCGCCTTTGAAAGAAACTGGAATGCGGGTTATTTCACTAAGAATCATGAAGGGAATTAATCTAGCACCTCTGGAGGGCAATACTTTGGAAAAGGCTGAAATAGAATTCTGCCTAAATAGTTAAAAAAATAGTTTAGCTCATTCTTATTTTTATAGAGTGGTGTTACTCTTAAGTAAAAGTCAGTGCTTCATTGCTCCTATGATGTAATAGTTTATATATCTGCCTATTGATGCCAAAATAATTTTCCAACAGAAATGGGTACATCTCCCAATTATCCTTGCTTTGGTCTTAGGTATAATGTTTGATACCGGTAGACTATTGATTCTAGTTTTATTTAGTTTATATTTTTAAAATTGCTGTAACTGGAACAGGTTAAGTTTCACTCTCCACGAATTTTTGTTTTCCCAGAACTCCCCCATTTAGCTCAGAAGAGGAAGTGGAGGAAAGTGACATCAAGCACTCCTACATCTCACCCGAATTATCTCTGCATAAGGCATCCAAGGGCCACAGCAAAGACAGTTTGCCAAGATTTGCATATGGGAGTGATGTAAACATCCCTGGAGACGAAGCAGATCTTAAGCCATCCAGAAGTACAAAAGCTAATTATGTGGGCAGTATTTGGGGGGAAAGCTAAAAATATGTGGCACGTGTAGGGGAGGAGAAACTGCCTTCGAAAGGTGGACAAGCTGAAGCAGATGACCCATGTCAAAGAATTGGAAAACGATACCTAACCTAAAGGATCCTTGTAAACTACCGAATTACGACTTTGAGAGAAAATAGAACAGAATAGAATAAAATAGAATAAGCTGGAAGATAACCTTGGAGGTCTTCTAGTCCAGCCCCCTGCTGAAGCTGGGGAACCTATACTATTTCAGATAAGTGACTGTCTAGTCTCTTGAAAACATCCATTGATGGAGCTTCCATGATTTCTGGAGGCCAGCTGTTCCACTGGTTAATTGTCCTCATTGTTAGGAAGTTTCTCCTTAATTCCAGGTTGCTTCTTTCTCTTGACTACGACTGAACCCTTGAGAGATCCACAGCTATTTTATCCTCACTGTAGGTGATCTTGGGTGGGAGTGCAGCAACATTTTATAAAGTCTAATCTCAGGATTTGAATTTGCTTTAATTTTCCAGGCCAGAGTTTGGGTGGTTAATGCAGCGGTGCCTACAAAATTGGCTAATCTCCGCATGTAACTTTTTTTCCTTCTACTTACGCTGTAATTTCATGTCCAATGTCAGGGTAATGCAGAATTATTGATCGATACTGTCCTGGTTCTGCTGCGTGTCTTCATGTCTAGAATGTACTTCCCTTCTCAAACAGCTGATAGGCTCATGAATGAATCTTCTGCTTTGGACCTAATTGTTTTCTTCCCCATTAACCTTTTGCCAACTAGTTAATGTAAGGGTAATTTTAATTGGGCTGCATCTTTTATGCCCAGAAGAAATAAATTCTCACCATGTTTATGAAATAAAACAAAAAACAAAATCAGTGAGCAATGCATTCGCTTTTGAACATGTCCTTAATTTAAAACCTGAGAAAGGTACAGCGGTGTGACAAGTTTGCTGGGCAGCCAGCTGTGTTTAAAGTGGGGAATGAAAGGGGGCAGAACCTGAGCTGGGTGCAAAAGTAGAAAACTACCTTATCAGCCAGGTAGTGTGCAGTTTCACAACCCAAACCAGGATGGCCCAGGGCTGCTTATTTCGAAAGGAAGTCCAGATTTCAGCCTTGGAAATTTACTGGGTAACTTGGGGTCAGTTTCTTAGACCAATGTATCTTATATTGTTATTGTGCAAGAGAAAAATGGAGATTGAAATCCCCTTGAAATCCTGGAGGAAAGATGAGGGTGAGTGTAAGAACCATACAGTGTAGTCTTTGGACTAAGTCTTGTTAAAGAAATATTGACAGCGTAGTAGCACCGTCACCGTGTCTTCAAACATTTGCTTTATAAGCTGTCTTCTGTCCTGATGGATTTTAGGCTCTTTACTTCAAAATGAGATGGATGAAATGGAGAAGTTTCTTTTGAGCCAAAGAAAGGAAAACAAAGAAATCAGAGGAATGAATGGTGGTTCATCATCTATTCATACATGTGCCCAAGGAGTAAAGGTATTTCCCGAATAAGATTCTAGACAGTCCCATTAAATGTTTTCTGATCCTATTGTACATATTTTCATTTGACTCTGATATCACCTGGGGTAATCATAGAACTCTGTGACAGCAAAAAGCAATTCAAACCATCAGATCCAGAATCCTCCATGCAGAAATTCTTAACATTTCCAGCTTTTACTCATACATACAAGGTGCCAGGAATCCAACAGCTTCTATGGTTGCTGGTTCCACTGTCACCCTAGTCTTGTTATTACCAAGATGTTTCCTAGCAAACAACTGCCAGAAGTAGGTTCAGAGCAGGAGAATCCTACATACAGCTTGTATTCCTTTGTATCCAGTGGAATTTGTAATGCAGCTTTAATGAAACATTATTTTCAATGAAAAATGAAACACGTTTTAACTTTTTCAAGTGTAAATGAATGAGGTACAAGAAGAAGCATTTTAACATTGCTGCATTTTTTTAAAAAGAGAAAACTACAACTGTAAAATCCTGATAGACAATATTCTGTTTTTTGCTTTCATCTTACTGATTCTACCCTCTTTCAATAGAGGTCACTGTTTTTTTAGAATAGAACTATTTTTTCTACCTGTGTTAATATAGTATTTAGTAATGAATCAAGAAAATATGCATTTCCATACTGTCTCTTTAATTTGTTTTTTAGAGCAGGAAAATAAAACCATTGCTTTTTGGTATTACTCCTGAGAATTCCAAATTTCTTTCAATAGTCTGATGTCTCTCTTTCATTTTACTGTATTACTGTGTTGAAAAAGATTGAGAACCGTTGCTCAGTGAAATATTGCTAAACATTTATTTCCTCTTAAGTTGAAGAAATTGCTGTTATTTCTTTTTTTGTATATAGTTTAATGGTATTGAAGATGAGGATGACTGGGATTTATCATCTCTGGAAGATGAAAAACCTTTGAAAGATGAGAAAAATAAGAATGTACGTGCTGTTGAAAAGAATGATCCATGTGCTGTGTCAATGACCCATGAATGGGGAAAACCAATAAAGGATGAAGGTATTTTCACACTAGAATTCCTATGCTATATTTTACCTGAACGATTTGAAAGGGGAGGTTTAATCCAGACATCTATGGCTGTGGATACTGTTTACATAGATCTACAGTTGCATGATAGCTTAGTGCTGAAGAAGAGTTCCTATGGCAACAAGATGTACAACTCTCCCATTGCAGTCATTGAGAGAGCAGTGAGGGTTTCATGCATTTCCTAGCTTTGCCAAAATGGCCCCGACTCCCAAGCTGGGATGTTCCCACATTGGCCAACTATGGTTATGGGAGATGGCATTTTTTCCAAAAATATTTAGATTGGATAATAACGAGCACCTATATAAGGGGTAAGAATATGAAACAATAGGTGGCAGGGAATGGTAGCATCTTTCTCACCGAATAATCTTGCAAAACAACTGTTTTCTTTTGAAACAGGACGTCAGGATGCAGATATCTCAAGCTCACCGAAAAGCAGCCTGGTCACTGTTACAGATTGGAGTGACTCTTCAGATATTTGACTGTGCAAGGAGGTTTAATCTGATTTCTGTCCTTTTTTCTTATGGTGCACGAACAAGGAACTTTTCTTTACAAAACTGTGTCCAAAGTTTTTCCTTTTATTAAATGCAAGCTTTTAATTATGCCCAGCTGGTTCTCCTGAAAGAAGTGGTTAAACAGTGTTTTACCAATTAATACTGCTTTAATACCTTTTTAAAAAAAAATCAAAACATATTTAAATCATACAAAGACCTTATATAAATTTATTTCCATTGTAATGCTATTTTCTTACTTTTCCAACATCCAGGATGACAAAAAAGTTGGGAGAAGTTGTCTGTGTTTTGACTCCTGGCACTTCCGTGCAGCTCCTATCCTGGGCCCCTCTTGCTGTCTGCAGCACTGCCAACTTCCCTGTTGCTTTTTGGGTTGGGAGATGACGAGGAACAAGAGTCACTCAGGACGGGGAATTCCAAGGAGGCAGGACAAAACAGGCATTGCATCAGTGAGGACCATGCTCAATCAGAATAGAGCTGGAAGGGACTTGGAGGTCTTCTAGTCCAACCCCGTTGAAGCAGGAGATCCTATACCATTTGAAATAAGTGGCTGTCCAGTCTTTCCTTAAAAACCTCCAGCATCCACAACTTCAGCTTAATTGTCCTGTTAGGAACTTTCTTTTCGGTTTCAGGTTGCTTCTCTCCTTGATGAATTTTCATCCATTGTTTCTTGTCTTGCCTTCTGGTGTTTTAGAAAATGCGTTGACCCCTCTCTTCGTGTCAGCCCTTCAAATAATGAAACGCTGCTATCGTGTCCCCCTTATTTTTTCAAGACTGGCCATAACCAATTTCTGCAACCCTTCTTCATATATTTTTTGTCTCCTTAATCGTCTTAGTGGCTCTTCTTTGTACTTTTTCCAAAGCCTCAACATCTTTTTTTGTAAAGCGGTAACTTAAACTGGACGCAGTATTTCAGGTTTGATCTTTTCTAAGAATTTACTGAGGAAATCCGGTACAAATAGGAAACACTGCAAAACCTATTCAGTTTCCTTTGGTGTAACACGAGCTGAAAGTTAACTGCACCTTTGCTGAAGGTCCCTACCCAAAAACCCAACTGCATCTGTTGATATAGCTGTTCTGCGAAACTGAGGGGCAGTTTGAGAAAAGATTAGCAGATTTCCTTAATGGTAAAGAAGTGGACTCTTTTGAGAATCTGGCCACCTCTCCCAAGCTTTGTATATTTGTACAAATGGTGAGCACAGGAGTATTAGGGATAATATCAGGTGACATGAACACTGCTTGTGGATCGGTTGAAGCAAAATAGGAAGGATGCATTAAAATGCTTTGCAGCACCATAAGTTGAACACATTTATCATGTGTTTTGTAACCTGTCAGACCTGACCTCTGGCCTGGCCTTTGTGCTCATCTATCACTGCTATCAAGCTTTCAAGAGAAGGTGGTGATATCCCCCTGCTTTTGATATGTCCCTGCCTCTTCTTATGAAGAGCAAAATTTCCTTTTGCCTTGAGCGTGCAGAAATAACTGCTCAAGGAGATGGTTGGATCAATGATCACACCAGATGCTATCTCCCTTAGCGTTTCAGGGTATTTAATAACTTCAGTGTACTTCATAGATTGAGCCCTAGTAACCCTAAGTGACCCTTCAACAAGAAAAATTTGAACTGAATTGGGGACAAAGGGGATAAAAATAAGATATATTTTTTTTAAAAAAACTGAAAATTGTTTATTTTAAACCAACTAAACAATAAGATTCTTCTAATCCAAAATAATTACTAAAGCTACATTTCTGGTGTCATAAAAATGACTAAAAGCCCCTGTTCCTTTCTTATATCTCATTCTTTCCCTAAACATTCGGTATTTTTAGTTCTAGGCACAAGGAAGCATATCTGGAAACCAGTATGTGTACGTGTCATCCCTCCATCTTCTCATTACTGACGTCTAAATGTACAATGTCTGTGGAAGATCCTAACTTTCAATGGGTTTCATATCTTACAAAATCTCAGGACAGCATTGGTGTTTAATGGTATAATGCGTATCAAGGCAGTGAAGCTTTGTCAATAGGAGAAAAACAAGGAAGAAGCCATTCCTACTGCACTACCATTATAATTATATCCTATAATACTATGACAACCAGTGTGATGTAGTGGCTAGGCACCAGGCTAGAAACCAGGAGACCACGGGTTTTAGTCTTGCTGTAGCACAAAGCCAGCTGGGTGAATTTGGGCCAGTCACTCACACTCTGTCCTTGGAAGAGGAAGAAAAGGGCACACAACCCTTGCCAAGAAAACTGCAGGATTAGTCCAGGCAGTTGCCAGGCATTAACTCTGACCAGCAGGCACCAAAAAAAAAAGAAAGAAAAATCCAATACTACCTAGTTTCTAATTCACATTATCTAACAATATTACACAAAATGAAATGATATAATTAAATGTATATTACATTGAACGTTTTAGCGGTCTGATGAGACTTTCACTTTTTAGAGCAACGTAACAAACCTTCAGGGACACAGTTGATTGTTCCAATCAATACCTGAGGCTGCCTTGATTTAAATCAACCAATTTGCAGGTGAGGAATTAAGTGAAACTACAGAGAGAAACTCCTCAGAAATAGACAAATCATTGTTTTGTGTTACAGGCGTTTGGGTGTGTTTCTATGTGGGTTGTTAATCCATATAATTGGGATATTGGGATTAAAACTGTTAGTGTTTCATAATAGATTATTAAGATCTTGCTTAATCTTATCCTGATCTGTTTTAACATGCTTTTAAAAGTAGTCCCAAGTTATTAAAAGCAGGTCTTCAAAACTGATGGATCCATTTAAAAGCTGCAACTGTTATGTTTGATTCTGAAGATCCCTGACAATATTGGCTGTAATCAAAATGACTTCATTTATATTTCTTTTTACAGACAGCAAAACATAGCAAGTTATTTTTCAGTTATAAATTATGTCTAGTACAAGTATAAATCTTAAAACAAGTTAGAAGAAAATTTACATCAAGTAGACAAAAGTTCATTTATAAAACTGTTAAAATAGCTGCAAAACTGCTGATGCTCAAGGTACCTAGCCACTTTTTAAAAATCATTCTGCGGATGGACAGCATATAAACATGATTGTTAAAAACATTCCTCCAACCATCCAGTTACACGTAGGCATTTTTGTCGAAATGCTTTGGAGGGATCTTGGATGTTTTAAAATCTGCTGAGTAGGTCCTGGTTCGAGCAGACATCACAGAAGCTGATTTGTTGTATGCATATACCATCCTGAAACACGAGAAAGTTTAGAGTTCATTTAAATATCGAGAAATATTGAAAGGAAGATGTCACGGAGCTGCTGTGTGCTTTAAGTTTTACTATAGACAGACCTAAGGGAAGGATGAGCGCAGCCACTCTCCACAATTCATTTAAAGCAGCAGCGCATCAATTTCCAGGATCCCACACCTGCCTTTTTTATAGTCCTGGAAGAAGACATCGCTGTTCAGATGAAGTGCAGGGGCTGCATGTACTCATACCTTAATTACAACAAAGAATATACCCATCCATTTTGTTCAAGTTGGGTAAAAACTTCTCAGACATTATTGCAGTTCAGGAGGCTACTCTGTGGTCAAGTCTCAATATTCTTTTAAGTGACCGTTTAACAAGAATAACGTTAACACTTTTTCTTTGAAGTGACAAGAATAGCGTTCATATTTTGCTAGTCCTTGGGAAAGGCTTCCTGTAACCAAAAGTACAGGGTGAAATTTTGAACAATTTTCAAAACTTCTCCGCTGTAGGAAAACTTAACTAGCAAGGTAGAAGCAGTTTTTCTCAGCCTGAACTAAAGATTTTTTTACACAGCAGCTTTGAGCTTGTAATCAAATACCTAGAAAAATATAGGTGTGTGCTGAAGAGTATCAGTGGGAAGCTAAAATTGCCTTAATGACCATACCATGCAGGTCAATTGGTCAAAGCCCTACAGGGTCAAATGCCAAGAGCATGAATTAATGGCCAAACCAGGAAAGGCAGCTGCTACCTTATTATTGATGACACAATGAAAGAAGGTCTGTGGAACATTCCCAAATGTCACAGACCTTCCCTAGGCTGATACCTGTAATTGCTTCATACTAAAAACTTGGAAAGGGACCTGCTAGCAATCACACTTCTATACTGCTTCATATTGCTTCACAGCTCTCTCTAAACAGTTTACAGAGTCAGCGTATTGCCTCTGACAATCTGGGCCCTCTTTTTACCAACCTCAGCAGGATGGAAGGCTGAATCAACCTTGAGCGGATCAGAATCAAACTGCTGGCAGCGAGCAGTGAGTTAGCCTGCAATACTGCATTCTAACCACTGCACCACCTGGCTCTTATCTGACCCAAGTACAGAAATCAATGTTTGTTTTTCTCTACGTCATTTATTGTAGCAAGCTGTCCTTAAAACAGCTTCAATTCAGGCATGGAGTTTAAATTTTTGAGATGTACTTGTTTGTCCAAAACAGCGCAACCTGAGCATGCTTACTCAGAAGTCCATTCTATGGGAATCAGATGATCCATTCCCAAATTAAGACTGGGCTACACATAGCTCAGTGCTGGAAAGTGTAGAATCTTTCATGAATCCATACTACTACAATCCTACTTTAATCGTCAACATTCTCAACACAATCGGTAAAATCACAGCAAATGCATTACTGCACTATACTTCAAGATCCCAATTTTGACTCAACCCTTTCATATTTTGTGTATCGGGAAGCAAAATTAATGAACCACATAATAGATGGATGAAAAGGAAAGAAAGCTTGGACTTATAAGGGCTACTAGTGAATACTGCTGTCTCAGTACTATTCAAGATAAAGGGATGTAGTCGGAAGGTGGTTTCACAATTATAAATAATTTCTGTGAAAACGATGCCCAGTAAACTTAAACATAAGCCCTGAATCATGAATGATGACATTCATGCATTTTAAAAGCATTAAAATGCAACATGCATTATTTTAAAGAAGCACTAAGGCATCTTACATGGCATAAATTATCAGTTTGTGCTACATGATTTCTAATCCTATGCTTAAATCTTACTGAGATGAGCAGTGTCTGATAAGTTTTTTCCCCTAGAAACAGGATTTTAAATTCTGTTTTTCAACTAATCATTCTTGACTATTGATTAGGGTTTGCAGATTGAATTGGTGCTACTGATCTTACAGTTGAGTAATTAGAAATCTGCTAATATTAATTTTAACAAAAGCAGTGGTCTGTACCGTGGAGTTGGTTTATTTTCAGCAATGGAGAAGCAGAATATGCTGCCACCAATTATGCAAAGGGATGCTCCAGCCCAACCAATGAATAAAGCTGCTCCCAGTTCATACCTGCAGAGAGGTGATAATTCAGGTTTAATAAATAGCGAAATCCGCAAATCAGATTTATTTATGGGAAGGGGTTTACAAGGCTAAATTAAGGCATTCGTTGTATTAACAAAAATTAAATAATTTTTGCTCTTTCCATCGCAATCCTCAGCAACCCCACTCCCCTCAAAAAAGCAGAAAGCTTGGCAAACATTGCTGCTATCTAAAACAAGCCATTTGAAATACGGTTACTCTAATGGGCATTGAAGGTTTCATTCCCTCTTCACTTCTCCAATTCTCAAGAGTTGGAGAATTTACAGTCTTGCTCTCCAGTGTATATCTTAAGTATTTACAAGGAAAGAACCCATTAATCGCCTGCCATAAAAAAAATAGGGGTGCTTTGCGGCATATAATTCAGCAATAACAATCAATTATTTGATTAATTATAATAGAATAATCCTTTAGTTCTTGCTGGGTCACAAAGACAGCACTTCTACTAAATATATTACGGCCAAGGCGACCTTGTATAGAATTAGGTCATTTGCTGTAAATGTTTCAGTTTTGGTTGATTAAAATAACTAGAAAGATGAAAAAGATCCTAGAATATAGCTAATCAGCTATTTATTGGTTTAATTTTAGAAACAGAGCAAAAGATAGTTTAATTTTTTGTTAGTTTCTTTTAGCTATGTTTTCTGAAATATAGTTTTCAAAGCTTCTAAGACAGGAGGAATCACCTCAAGGCTGTAGACCTTGTAACCTTCCATTCTAACTTCACTGAAATACTAATGGAGTTTAAAAGACAGCAATTGTTTTGGTTTATTATAGCGAGTTTAAACTTTATTTTGGGCAGGTTACTTAGCTCTGGTTCCTCTGAACCAGGCAGATAGATCAAAACAGCAAATAAAGCATCTCCTATCTCTAGTTTTTTCAACTGGACTTACTTTTGTGCAATAAATGTGGGGTCAAAGAACTCAGATGTGATTCGGTGAGCATAGAGGGAGCAACCAGTCAATGAACTCAGTCCTAAAAAAAAAAATGTATCAAGTGCAGAACAGATTAATATCTGGAAATGCTTCAGTATACATCCACCAAAATCTACAGTCGACAGCAATTTTCCCACTTAATTTGATCTGCCTAGAAAAACTCAGCTTTGATCATTTCATATTTACCTGAAAGAATAAAGATCACTCCAGCAAAACAAGCAATTTTAGCTTTAGTTTGGTCTGAGCCTCCAACCTTTGTACATTTCATCCCGATCAGGGCAAATACAGAGCCAAAAAACCCAAGGCAGACAGCAGCAATCATGAGTCCTCTGCACGCTTGTATGTAACCTGAAATGCAAGAAGAAATTGAGTGATAATGCAAGAAGAAAATTGAATGATATCCATGTTCAAAGGGCTTTCAGTGCAGAACAGATCACCTGCGTAATAAGACACTTTTTAAAATGAACTCTTATGCAAATCTCCACTCTATCTTCACAGGTTTTTCACATGGCAGTACCTAACGTTCTGGGAAATGACACAGGGAGTAATGTAAATATGAACATACTGGGTTGTACTAGAAATAAAAATGCTCCCAACTTTATTGGGATAGCTATTGGTTCAGGGATCTTAGCAACATCCAGTGTGTCAGGGATGCCCCAAAGAAGACGGGGTCAACCTATTTTCCAAAGCTCTAGAAGGCCAGACAAAAAACAATGGATAGAAACTCGTCAAGGAGAGAAGCAATCTAGACTTAAGGAGAAATTTCCTAATGGTGAGAACAACTGATCAGTTGATTGGCTTGCCTTCAGAAGTTGTGGGTGTTGGGGAAGGAGACTGCAAAATCCCCATTCCCTCCCCACTCCACTAACCTGCTTTCCAGCTCCGTTCTCCTGTGCAGGGCAACAAAAGAAGACCCAGCCAATCAGCTGGGACTCGGGAGGCAGAGAATAGATGGGGGTGGGGCCAGTCAGAGGTGGTATTTTCCAGTTCTTTGAACTACTCAAAATTCCTGCTACTGGTTCTCCAGAACTGGTCAGAACCTGCTGAATACCACCTCTGAATGGTGTGCTGTATAGGTGCTGAGGGAACAGCTCGGATGTTTGATGCCACGTGGTGCTGTTCACATTTTTTTCCCAGGCTCGGGGGTGCTTGGAATAGGCCTGTCCTCATAACTCTGGTTTCCATCAAGCCTGTCACACACACACACACACACACACACACACACACACACACACCTTTGCTCTTCTCTACTCTCCACTTGACAATTGCTCCCTTCCTTCCCCCCTCCCCTCAACAATTGATGCCAGCAAAGCACAAAGCTGAAGATGGCAGATCTGACAGATTATGAAATGCAGTAGCACATGCCTTCTATATGTTTACCATATTCCGACATGATACAGTATAAAGACTAGTACAGATACTTTGTAAAAGTTACGTGGGTGAACCCAAATATAGTTACTGTTATGGTGAATAGAGAGATCTCAAAATTATCTTCCAGCTACTATCTTATTTATATTAGATTGTTATAGAAGGAACAAAACTAATTTTGGGGAAAAACTAGGTTTTTTTCCATTAAGACGGTGCCATTGTAGAAAAAAAACACATTTCAGAACAAATTCCCCATTATTTAAATTTTTATAGGGTTATACAGTATTTTATTAAGGATTATATACTGAGGCACAGTCTTTTAAATAGGCTTTTAGTTAACTGTAAATGCACATGCCTCATTTCAAGCAATAATGTAGGCCTGGAGCGCATTCTTACTTATGCATTTCTAGATAAGGAATAACACAGGAAATAACATTACACCTGATGGGGCACTGGATATGGCTGTTAAGCTAAATTCTGCAAGAAGTGAAAAGTTACCAACACCTAGTTTTTATTACTCAAAATGGATATTTAGTATAAAATTTCTCCTTAGACCCAGTTTTCTTGGGGGGTCTTTGTAACTTTTTTTTGCTACTTATATAGATCAAAATTAGCCACGGAAGTCATTATTTTCCAACGCATTCAATTTATTTGCATTGTTAGTAGCTAATTAAGACATTAAATGTGCTGGAGCATGAAGTTATTTACCCACAGGTGCTTTCAAGGTAATTTATAGCTATATCTCCTGGGAAAAATGGTAAAGATTTACCCCAACCACAACAAAATGGCTGCCATCCATCATTTACACGCTAGCATGTGATTTTTCCACAAAAAACAGAATAAGGAATAAAGAAGGAAGGACATAATTAGTTCTCACAAGCAAAACATACCAGGTTCACATGGCCAGTGCAAAAAGAATGTGTAGAATGGTCATCTAATCCAACTCATAGGGCACACTGAACCATTTACCAACGATATAGACTGGATTCACATAACATTAAACTGAAATGTGATTTGCGTATTTTGTGGTTCATTGTAGTTCAGTATACAATAAATGCAGCCTCTATGTCAAGGCAGGATTGATCCAAAACCAGTTCGATTCAAATGGATCAAAAAGACAGGAAAGAAGGATGGATGAACAATATGACAGATATGCCCAACCAATTCAAGATCTGGAACAATCCTTATGCAAATAATGCAAATAGCTGGGTAGAAATGACAGGTTTTTAGCCTTACTAATGATACATACTCCCTACTTGGGATATAACAACCAACCACAGTGCTTCTAATTGCTTTCTCATTGCCAAACCAGCGGAAGAACCAAGTGTGTATCTATGTACGTTATATGCATTTATATGTATCATGTATGATACATTCAGGCTACCCTATCTGGGCTGCAAATATCTGAACTGCCGAAATCTTCTTGTGCTCCTTCAGGGAGTTACCTGGACTTTTAAAGCACAACTTGTGCAGCCCTTGTGTTTATTGTTTTTTAATTACCTGCAACTCCAACCAGAACTGATAGAGATAAGTTAATTAAGACCTGCCTTTTTATATAATCAATATTAACCAATTAAATATTAATTAATTGTTAATATCAATCATATTAATTAAATCAGTTTGGCAGAGGATTTTACACACATTTTAAAAAGCTACTCTTCTAATGAGGCTAATAGCCAGAATACCATTTATATTCACAAGTTAAAAAACAAAGGCACAATGAACACCATTAGAAAGTATCTGTTTAGAGACTTTTCAATTCTACAAAATGATCATTTGAAAAAAAAAACCTATTCTACTAATTTACTCTCTATGGTAGCAATAGTTTGTCATATGCCGTGCATACTCCCATCAGCTGATAGCATTGTCAATGCCAAGACCCTAGATGTAGGAGATAATTAGACTGAACCCGAGGGAGGGGTCAAACACATCATAAGTCATGAATCCTTGTAAGCTTGCAAGAGATCGAAGTCAAGACCATCTTGAATGCCTTTTAATTCCCACTTGTTTCCCTTAACCATTGGTAGCTCAGATTTTGCAGAGAGCTTAAGCTTGCAATAAAATCTTTATATTCATTTGAGCTGCCTGAATTCCCTGATTTCCGGTGCTTGGCACCAGACTTGCTACAGACAGAAAAAGAAAGAAAAGAAATACGGTGATGAGAGAAAGCTTGATTAATATTATATATCTCTATAATAATTTCTCTAAAATAATTTATTAATTGATTGTTTGATTGATTAGTGTGACTAGAGTGTCTAGTGCAAATAATGTGATTACCAATCTGTAATTTAATTGATTAGCAAAATTAATTATCAATGTAATTAATTGACCAGTGTGATTAGTGATTAGTGTAATTAATTGTTTAGGGTGATTGTTAATTAGTGAAATTACTTGACTAGCATGATTATTGTAATTAATTGATTGGTGCATGCATGAATTCCTCATCTTACTAAGCACAGCCACATTTGATATTATATTTGTCTGTGAGACGCTGAATGCATCTTTTCCAGACTCCATTACCACAGTCAGAGAATATCACGTTTATCGGTCAAATCGCGAAATACGTAGAGGAGATGGAGTTGCTATCTTCTATAAAAAAATCCCTAAATCTAAGAAAGATTCCAATTACACAGGAGCTTGTTTTTCCAGAGACCACTGTTTCTGAACTTTCCTTAAATACCACTATCCACTTCTTACTATGCTACAGAGCCTCTGATTAGGACATAGTTCATGCAGACAAACTAACTTCACTCTGATGTGGGCTGCCTCTTGTCCACACCCTCTTATTTTCCTTGATGACCGCTTATAAACTGGACCCTAAATGAACGTACATCTGAACCCATACATGCAACCCTGTACAATGCTGTTACCACACTGGGACTGGATCAATTAGTAACAAACAACACTAGACTCAACAACTGCCTCGACCTCATCTTCTGCAACAGCTCAAACTCAATTTAAGGCCTATAAATACAAGAACCCTTTTCAAACAGTGACCACAGTATGATTGACTTTTGTCTCAATTTACGCCCTCGCAAAGAAGATCATAATGATGGATCTCCAAAATACAATTTCAAAAAAGCCAACTATGATCTCATAGATGCCGATCTATCATCTCTTGATTGGCACTTTCTGTTCTCTAACTGTAATACTACAGAAGACCATTATAATGCATTCTTACTTGAACTTGAAAGAGTTATTAAACTATATGTACCATTAGTAACCCCTAAAAATAATTACCCATAACAATATGGAAACTTCAATCAAAAAAATAAATCACTATGGTGTAAAAACAAAACTAGCTACGTAGCAAACTTTAAAAACTGATACAACACTTTATGCCGACAGATAAAGGCAGAATGCACAAATTATTACTGCAAGCAGGAGGAAAACTTCCTACGTACAAAATCTACCCACGCCTTCTACAATTTTGTAAATTCCAACTTAAAGACTCAAGAACCATCCCACCTCTAAAGGGACCAAATGGGAAAGACTGCAGTGATGAAGCTGTTAAGGCCAACCTCTTCAACACATTCTTCAGTTCAGTCTTTGTAAACAGCAATGGCTCACGCCCCACATTTCTTAGTCGTACCACAACTAACTGCAATGATCTACTACATATTGACTTTGCAGAAGATAATGTAGAAAAGGCACTACGAAACCTAAAACCATCCCTATCTATTGGCCGTGGTAGAGTATGTGCATACTTCTTAAAAAAGCTCTCCTCTGCCATAGCAGAACCCCTAAGCATTATATATGATATATCATTTAAAACCAGCTCCTTACTGAACCTATGATCCTTAGCTACAGTCATCCCTATCTTCAAAAAAAGTGACCCCAGCCTGGTTGAAAACTACAGACCAATCTCACTGTGTTGTGTTACGTGCAAAGTCATGGAATCAGTCATGAATCAATTCATCACCCTCCACTTAGAGTCAAACAACCTACTCTCCCAAAAACAATTTGGTTTTAGGAAAAAA